CACGTTATGCTAACATTCATGATGCATATGTGTTGGAGGCTTTGGCATTGAGGGATTGTTTGATTGCTTGTTTGCGTCGGGGCATTACGGAGGTCAAAATTGCTGGGGATGCTAAGGTATTGATTGACAAATGCAATGCAGGGTATGTGCTTGACGCAAAGATCGACTCAATTCTTAAAGAAATCAACGAGCTTCTAGCGGAGGTGTCTGGTTCTAAGGTGTTGTTTGTTGGACGTGCTCAAAATAAAGTGGCTCACTGTGTGGCCCGATATGCTCAGTTGTTGTCACCACGTATCTTAAAGGGGTTTGATTTCGTTTCCTGGTATCATAGTAGATAATTGTTACTATTGTAAACGACTTTGTATCTTGGTTCTTTCCTCTTTTGTTAGAGTGATCGATTGGCAAAAAAAAAACGGTTAACTCTCTCTTATTAACGTTTACTCGTCGTACGCATTCCAATTTGACCATATGAATACCGAGTTACCACAATTCCCCCGTTGACCCTTTGTTTCAAGTTTTTGAACGGCATGTTACCAGGAATTCCACATAATACGAATTCTTCTGACCAGTGATAGACCCATAGAGAATTCATGCCACACAAAACTAGACTTGGCTGAAATAGGTTTGAGCCTTGACTTTTGACTCTGTCTTGGAGTCCTACCATTACTAGTTTTTAATATTGTATTTTATGATAAAATCATGGTTCAATCGTTTCGTACCGCTAAAAACCGTATATACATTTAGTCTTCGACAGAAGACTTTCTCAATTGAACCGCCTAATCACAAATTATTAAGGGGTCGTTTAGATGGAGTATTTGTATGAGTTATTTGGGTTCAAATTGTCATAAACCGGTTGGTCCCAATAACTCGAGTTATTGGGAGAAGGTTATACTGGATCTTATACCACTCTCTAACACGCCCCCTCAAACGAAAGCCAACCCATGCGCTTGAAGTTTGCACAGGCCCACCATACCATGTGCTTGAAAGACAACGGTTAATATTGAGGGTTGTGGAGATTCGAACACATGACCTTTCGGTTTTAGGCTCTGATACCATGTTATAAACCAGTTGGTCCCAATAACTCGAGTTGTTGGGAGAAGATTATGCTGGATCTTATACCACTCTCTAACACAAATAACTCACAATGAGTTATTTGGACACAAATAACTCATTTGGCAGCGTTTTACTGATGGGTCCATGTTTGGTCGAATCATGGTTTGATCCGTGTGCAGGTCATTCTTTCTCTTATATGAATAATGCAAAGATGAAGACAGGGACTGAGCTGTAAGCAGCTGGATAGTTTATGATTTACCCCCATTAAATCTCCTCTTCCCAGCTTAGGAAGACGAACATGGTGAACACGAAGACAGAAGAAGAAGGGGGAAGAAAGGTGATAGAGACGAAGTCGCTCCTATTATCGAAGCTCCAAGATAAACAATACTACTGTTTTTCTCTCCTCACGCCACTATTTTTCTCTCCTCACGCCATCGCGAGACGCAAGGGGAAGTTCTCAACGCCGGGATCGTCGTGGCAAGATCATACCTTGGTTTACTGTATTTGACAGAGAAGAAATGCAGAGTGTAGCAATCCTCACTAGCTGCGGATTGTGATGGATGAAGGCGGCGTCGTTGCAGAAGAAAGGAGAAGAATGATTGCTGAAGAACTAAAGGGAACGGCAGCGTTTTTAGTATAGTTGAGTTAGCCATTAATTCACTGTTTGTTTAAATTGAGAACCAATCTTGTAAGGACACGTTTCACTTTTCTGTTAATTACAAAAGTAGCTATAAAAGCTACAGAGAGCTCAGAATACAACTGAGCTTTTCCTCCAAATTCCTTTCTTCTTTACAATTTTTACATGGTATCAGAGCAACCCAGACCCTAGGGTTTGAGTCTGCGCAGCAACAATGTCGGGTGAGCAGTCGACTCTGCAGCCTGGCAGTCAAGGAAGAGGCAACAACAACAGTGGTGCTTCTACTCTCAGTGGAGTTCAATTTGGCTCCTTTGGTAAACAACAACAGCAGCAAACAAAGGTCATCACATTTGGTAACCCATTCTATCTCAATCCAAACGGAAATATGGCTCAATCTCTGGTTGCTGAGTTGTTTGATGGTACAAACTACACAATGTGGAGTAGATCTATGCAAGTGGTACTTAAAACGAAGAACAAGCTGGGCTTTTCTAGATGGGTCAGTTGCAATGCCTTCTAGGGATTCAGATATGTTTGGCATTTGGGATGCTTGTAATATTGTAGTCCTATGCTGGATCCAAAACTCCATGACCAAAGAACTGCGAAGGGCAGTGTTGAATCACAGTAATTGTAAGACACTTTGGGAAGAACTGAAGAGGCGTTTTGGACAACCAAATGCCATGAGAATTGCTAACCTGGAGGATGAGATCTTGGCTTGTAAACAGGGAACTAAGTCAATTAATCAGTATTACACAGAGATAAAGGGATTATGGGATGAGTATGTCGAATTTTGTCCTGTGGTTCCATGTGCTTGTGCTCCCGGTTCGACCATTCCCTGTGTTGCAGTAGCTGCTTTTGTTCAAAAGCAGGAGACATATTATTTGATTCGCTTTCTGAGAGGAATCAATCCAGAATTTGAAGTCATCAAAACTCAGCTGGTTGATCTACTGTTGATTAAACTGCGGAAGATCCGACAGTAGCTTGGAATCTCTTAAGCTAACCAAGCCCTCTCAGTCCAACTACCCGGCAGGCGACTAACCTTCACCGAGATAGAAAGCTGAGGCTATGAACACAGAACTCCACTACCGGAATTGGATTCCAGTACAAAGCAGTAGATTGACTAACTCTCGTATAACCAATTCACCACCATCAATTAAGGAAGCTCTCTTAACCTAATCAGATTCTATCTATCATAGGTTAAAGCAGAAATCAAGAGAATTTTATCAAGATTCAATTGGCTCAATAAATCATGCCTCAATCGATTATAATCAAACAATATAGCATCCAAAACTTCATACAAGAAAGATCCTAACACATGGAACTAGGGTTCCTCAAAACCTAAGTGAAGGGAAGTTACTCCATAGAGAAGAGAGAGACTGTAGAAATCTGATCTAGATCTTCAATCTCCATCTCCAAGCTTGATTCCCGAGCTCCAATGGCGAAGAAATCCTCCAAAATAGCTCCAAGAATGTTCCCAAGTCGCTCTCTCTCTCTCTCTCTAGGGTTCGTCCCTTGGGTGTTTGGGAACCAAAAACCCAGCTCTCCCCTTTCCTTTGGCTGAAAATCGAGTTTTAAACAGAAATTTGCGATCACGCGGCCAGGCCACACGGCCGTGTGGCTTTCCAAGCTGCCGGTGTGAAGGCTTGGTGATTTCCACACGGCCAAGACCCACACGGCCGTGTGGAGTTCCAGGATTCCTGTGTGGCTTGCTCAGCCTCTGTTTAATGCTTCGTTTCTCCCTCGTCCGGACTCCGAATCAGTCCCCGTTTGATCCCAGACGCTCGTAGTCTCGTCCTATTTCTTTTCATGGCAAGCTTTCATGATTCTTTGTCCATAAAGTGAGGTAGAAATCCATTCTTCTTCAGGTCATGCCCGAGTTTCTTCTCCCGAATCGTCAATATATCTCTGATTGATTTGAAACTTGCGCCTATGCTTCACTTTATGTGCTAGGACCTGAAATGTGACAAAGGAACACAACCTAGCGTAAAATAGGCCAAAGAAGCAATAATGCAAGCTTAAACGATCAAGAAACAAAGGGGAAAACATGTGCAAATATCGAGTCATCAAATCCCCCCACACTTAACCGTTTGCTTGTCCCAAAACAAACCTAACTCAAACCAATGCAGCTCTCCAGACCTCTATAGCAACAAACAACCCCGATCGTCGGTAGAGGATTTCCTAGATCATATAGCAGGTTACGAGGTCAACTGGTCTTCTAAGACGTCCCCTATCTCTCTCAATGCGAGTACTAGACTCAAGCCATGAACATGAGAAGAAGTAGAAGTAAGACAGTCAGTTCATGGACAAAGAGACTCACACCATTCACAACCAATGACTCGTTGTACCGGGGTGCTCTTTCACTTCATTTCACCGTTGGAACCCCTTTTTGCACTTTCATTTACATTTCTTTTTCTCTTTTTTCTTCATTCACTTGGCGGGGGTTCCAACTGCAGTCTTTTGTACGGTCGACCCTTATTAGTCGAGCAAGAGCAATTTTTGTACATCTAGCGCTCGCCAGAGTACTTCTTTTAACTCCTTTTCCTCAACTCGTGTGGAGGGTCAATGAAATCAATGGGGGTCAAAAGCTCTATCCGTGCCCTTAAAAACACATCCTCAAGTAGGCAAACCGTTCAACGGGTGAAAATTTTACTTGTACTAGAGATAGCTTAGCTTCACCTTGTAGGAGTACCCCACTAAGGATCACTAAAATCTCTTCCAAAATCCGATTTTGTGCAATGAACGGTGCCACACACGTTGGGCTTAACCCATGCTTAAGATTTCAATGATTTCGACATGGAGGACCAACTGCTTCCCATTTTCCATATGAGCACCCTGTTCGATACACGAGTCCATAACACAATCCAAACAGAGTCACCATTACCACATGAATTCAACGGTCTTAGCTCCACTACTTCACAAAATCAACTGGCACAACAGAGAGCTAGATAGGAAAAATCTTATACTTCAACATCCTCCATAGTGCTACACTATCTCCCTAGGTTGCACATTACTATAGAGAAGTCGATTCAAAGCATACTGAGCAGGCAATTTGCAAGGAAACACGTACTTGGAGCCCTCAAATTTAAAAATTTGGACAGTGGACTAGGCTCCAAGCACACAAACAGCCAAACATTCACCCGCATACATAATCGAACACCCCCCCCCCCCACACTTAAGCACGACATTGTCCTCAATGGAGGAAAGATAAGGAGGGTAGAACGAAGTTACCAGATCAAGAGTGAATGATGATGGACGGGTCAGGCGGTGCATTCCAGGAAGAGAGAGTAATCAGAACGCAAACACCATACAAAATCTCACAAAGGTTGAGTTATTGACTCTAAAATCAAATAACAAAACTGACTCAACCGAGGAGAAATAGAGAAAGAAATGCAAACCGACTGGTTGGGTTGCCTCCCAACAAGCGCTTCTTTCACGTCGTGAGCCAGACGATGGCTCCTAAGTTTCGGTTCATGCTAGAACCTCCTTGAAGTTGAGGTTATCGTCAATGAGGTGGAGTCGCAAGTCACGAGCATGTGGTATGACTGGTGATGGAAGCTCGTGCACTTGATGCAGATGAAGTCTCCATCCTCGAGACCTCTTCTTCTCTTCTCTCGTCTCATTGCCCCAAACCATATATGACAACATCGATTGACCACCATCGCGTCCACCAAGAGGGACCGATGTCGATGTGGCCTTGGTTTGGCAAAGAGACACTGCAAATGGGTCCTTGCTAAGTAGTTCCTCGAAGTTTGATGGGTATATTACTTGTATTATAGGGCCGGTGCAAGCCTCTTCCACCTCAACTTCATCCTCAGCCTGGACACCAATTGCTTCTTCAACCTCCCTTTCTTCTTCATGTGGTATCACCCCTGGGAAATGATCAAGAACTCCTTCTGCTTCACTTTCGTCATCCTCCACAACTTCTTTCTGCACCCTTTCTTGCTCTTCTTCTTCTAGTACGGATTGGAGAGCAAGCTGCCAAGCAATTTCTTTCATGAGATCTTCTTGCATCTCCTCACTCATGCCCGCCTCTTCAAAGCTCAGTTTGGGATGTGGGAAGTTGTGGTCGGCTATGACAGGAAATTCATGATCATGATCATCACGGGAGCTCTCCGTGACAACTTTAGTGTGCTCCACAATGTCCTTGTACCCTTCTTCTTCCTCCACCTCTTCTATTATGGTAGCAGAAGGGTGATCGGGAGCAAGTTGTGCACAAGATCGCTCAAGATCATCGACGCTCTTCTTAAGGCTCAGGAGGATCTCCTCTGTTTCACGATAGGCCTGGACACAATGATCCATCCTGGAGCATGTTCTCTCACTGTCTCTAGCAAACTGTTCCATGAGAAGCGTCAATTCATAGTTTGGATCTGGCTGTGGAGTGTAGCATGGCTCTGCAGAATGGCCCGTGAAGGCCGCCATGGGTAACTCCAGCGCCGATGGCCTTTCTGGTTGTGGGAGAAATTCTTCTTGGTAATGAGGTTGTTCTTGATATGTCCAGGGGTCCGGTTGTTCTCCGTAGTAAGGGGGTTGGTACTGGAACACGAATTCATAGTCTTCTCCTCCTTGATTGCTCCAGGGAGTCTCGGGGTAATACCACTCGGGTGGTGGTGGATACCCCCAATTGTTGGAGAAGCCATGAGGATCCATGATTCAGATCTGCACCCACAAAAACAAAAACACCCAAGTGAAAAACAAGGGTGGAAAAGAAAAGAAAAACGCTAAAGTAACAAACTTCTTCCTTTCCTAATAATCTAGAAAGTCCCCGGCAACGGCGCCAAAAATTTGACACGCTAAAACACAACACCTAACAATGGCCAAGTGTAACCAATGAAAGGGACTGCAGTATAGTGGCACAAGTAATAAATATCGAATCCACGGGTCTCTAGAGTTACTATTACTCAGCTTCAGTTCATTATCTAGCAAACTAGATTAAGGATTGATTTATAAACTACTCTACTGACTACTCTACTAATTACAAGTTGTGAACTCACTTAGGTATGATTCCCCCTAGCTCCTCAATTAGGTCCAAGTTGAAATTACCTTTGGTTGATCTACTGTTGATTAAACTGCGGAAGATCCGACAGTAGCTTGGAATCTCTTAAGCTGAACAAGCCCTCTCAGTCCAACTACCCGGCAGGCGACTAACCTTCACCGAGATAAAAAGCTGAGGCTATGAACACAGAACTCCACTACCGGAATTGGATTCCAGTAAAAAGCAGTAGATTGACTAAACCTCGTATAACCAATTCACCACCATCAATCAAGGAAGCTCTCTTAACCTAATCAGATTCTATCTATCATAGGTTAAAGCAGGAATCAAGAGAATTTGATCAAGATTCAATTGACTCAATAAATCATGCCTCAATCGATTATAATCAAACAATATAGCATCCAAAACTTCATACAAGAAAGATCCTAACACATGGAACTAGGTTTCCTCAAAACTTAAGTGAAGGGAAGTTACTCCATAGAGAAGAGAGAGACTGCAGAAATCTGATCTAGATCTTCAATCTCCATCTCCAAGCTTGATTCCCGAGCTCCAATGGCGAAGAAATCCTCCAAAATAGCTCCAAGAATGTTCCCAAGTCACTATCTCTCTCTAGGGTTCGTCCCTTGGGTGTTTGGGAACCAAAAACCCAGCTCTCCCCTTTCCTTTGGCTGAAAATCGAGTTTTAAACAGAAATTCCCGATCACGCGGCCAGGCCACACGGCCGTGTGGCTTTCCCAGCTGCCCGTGTGAAGGCTCAGTGATTTCCACACGGCCACGACCCACACGGCCGTGTGGAGTTCCAGGATGCCCGTGTGGCTTGCTCAGCCTCTGTTTAATGCTTCGTTTCTCCCTCGTCCGGACTCTGAATCATTCCCCGTTTGATCCCAGACGCTCATAGTCTCGTCCTCTTTCTTTTAATGACAAGATTGCATGATTATTTATCCATAAAGTGAGGTACAAATTCATTCTTCTTCAGGTCATGCCCGAGTTTCTTCTCCCGAATCGTCAATTGATCTCTAATTGATTTGAAACTTGCGCCTATGCTTCACTTTATGTGCTAGGACCTGAAATGTGACAAAGGAACACAACCTAGCGTAAAATAGGCCAAAGAAGAAATAATGCAAGCTTAAACGATCAAGAAACAATGGGGAAAACATGTGCAAATATCGAGTCATCAGACAGACATCAAAGAAAGGTTTGACTTCCAAGTAAGTACAAGGACTATGAACTAGATCCAAGCATTTCCTTTGGTCACTGTGGGAAATCAAACTCTTGCAGTAGGCATCCTTTATGTCTGAATGTGGATAGCTTGAGTCATGATGATAGATCCTTTGCACTGAATATCATGAACCTAGTAGAACCTAGTTCATATTATGAAGCAATCAAGTCTGATGCATGGAATAGGACTGTGAACTCAGAGTTACATGCCTTGGAGGAAAACCAGACATGGGATGTTGTCCAATTACCTCCAAATGTTAAAGAGATAGGTAACAAATGGGTCTTTAAATACAAATTTAAGCCTGATGGATCCCTAGAAAGAGAAAAGGCCAGGCTGGTGGCCAAGGGCTACACTCAGGTTTATGGGATAGACTTTTTGGACACATACTCCCTAGTGGCTAAGATAAACACAGTAAAGACCTTCCTAGCAGTAGCAAGCTTGAGGAACTGGACTTTGGAACAAATGGATGTATCTAATGCATTCTTACATGGAGATCTGGATGAGGTGGTTTATATGAAAATACCACTTGGAGTGAAAGTGAACTCAACAGGAAACCAGAAGATGACTTGTAGGTTGAAGAAGTCATTATATGGCCTGAAACAGGCATCCAGACAATGGTTTGCAAAGCTTACCAGTTTTCTGTTGAAATTGGGTTTCTCTCAGTCAGTGTCTGATTATTCTCTTTTCACTAAATGGACACATGGAAGGATTACTGTGATACTGGTATATGTTGATGATATCTTAGTTGGGGGTGATGCACAGAAGGACATAGACCAAGTGAAGACAGCACTGAGCAAAGAATTTAAGTTGAAACTTCTAGGACCATTGAAGTACTTTCTTGGTCTAGAAGTTAACAGGGATCAGAAGGGTTTGAATGTGTGTCAAGGAAAATACTGTGTGGACCTATTGAAGGATACAGGTTATTTGGAAGCAAAGGGGTGTAAAACTCCAACTGATGCAAAGGTGAAGTTAAGTTCTAAGGGAACTTTGCTAAAGGATGGTGAAGCATACAGAAGGTTAGTTGGCAGGATACATTATCTCACAATCACAAGGCCAGACATAGTGTTTGCAGTGCAACAGCTCTGTCAATACCAAAGTAACCCTTGTGAGGAACATATGCAGGCTGCTTATCGAGTGCTAAGGTACTTGAAGTCTTCACCAGACCAGGGAATACATTTCAGCAACACATCAGAGGAAAGGATAATTGGATTCAGTGATTCAGACTGGGCAAGCTGTCCAGACACCGGGCGTTCCATTACAGGGTACTGTACCTTCCCTTGGCCAATCCATCTCGTTGTGAATTCGTGTTGATCTTGGCCTCCCCGGCTTTCTAATCATGTCCAGATTAGGATGGAGAGTAGAGTCATTATGCTTCTTCCAACCCTTAGGTTCACCAAGAGGTGCGAAAATTGTCCCATAACAAGCCATCACTGTTTCCAGCTTGTAGACATTGTTGACAAACCTATACGCACTAGCACCCATTCGGTTGCAAGCTGCAATGGCATGAGAGCAAGGAATTTTATTTCCTTGAAATTTACCACAGGTGCAAAATCCCGTCCGGTTGGGGTCGTCAAAGTGCACTGTGAGTGTGTTTGACCCCGTCATGTTGAAATTGTTGGGAGGAGTCTGAACTACATAGATGCCTTGACGTCGATCAAGAGCTGTCACAGAATGTCCAACTGCCTTTTGTGACCACGCCTTCATCAGCTCTTCGCACTTGGTGGAGAATTGTGAAGGACCACTCCTAATTTCTGCTCCTGTCTCCAACCTGTACTTATCGAATTTCTCCACCAATCGCCAATAGGTATGTTGCACAAGAGAAGCTATAGGAAGTGCACGAATACCTTTGAAAATACCATTGACGCTTTCTGCCATGTTGGATGTCAGGATAGACCAACGACGCCCACCATTGTAGTTATCGTGTGCTAAACTCCAACGAATCTGATGTTGATCCACCCAGTTATCACATGAAATATTTCTATCAGCGGCCACCTTCTTAAATTGCTCAACTTGACGATCAAACTTCTCCAACCGTTTTTCTCCGGCTAACAAAATAAAATAAACCACCACACGGGTTAGATAAATTCATGACAAAATTACATGAAAACAAGTAACAAAATTATATGAAGAAAGCTTACCGACTCGAAATAGTTGATTATACATAATTCTGCTTTTAGTCTTCCTTTGCAAATTGCTTGCATAGTGTCGCATGCACCACCTCCACTCCCAACCTCTTCCGATGTTATTCATGGCTTCATAGAGTCCTGCATGTCTATCTGAGATGATGCATACATCATTTCGATCAGTCAAACCCTGAACGTGACGTATGAACCATGGCCAACTATCAGTATTCTCACTCTCCACTATGGCAAATGCAATTGGAAAAATCTTCTTCCGTCCATAAAATGAGCTCGCCATGAGTAGCACTCCTTTATACTTCCCAGTAAGAAATGTTCCATCAACAACCATAACGCCTGGACAATTCTTGAATCCATCTATACTCGGTCCATAAGCCCAAAATACTCGCTGAAATATTGAATGACCTGGTTGAGTCGAAGGAACTCTTACCCAATGAATCACCGATGTTGGCATTTTTCTCTTGACCACCCGCAAGAATGTTTGCAAAAAATCATAGGATTCTTCCCAATTTCCATGCAACTTCTCCAATGCTCTTTGTTTCCCATACCAAGCCTTCTTGTAAGTAACTTGCATATTAAACTTATCTTTCAACTCGGCCTAAACAGTTAGAACACTGAGATTTGGTTGGGCACGTACCAAGTGTTTGACGGCCTCAGATATCACGTCGACATCAAGATGGCGATGATCCGTCGGTTGAGTCGTACTGCTACAAGTATGCACCAACTCGACCTTTCTCACGCTCCAATCGCCTCCCATTTCTCGACATCCAAACTGCACCATCCAAGGACATTTGTCCTCCTTGTGCATCAAACATCTGATCTTCCAGATTGAAGGTGACGACTCCACCACGTTATACTGAAAGTTGCGTTGTAGTGCATAGTGTTTCATCGCCACCTGTGCAGCTTGTTTCGAGTGAAATATTTGCCCCTTGTAGAATTCTCCATCAAAACCACCAATAGTAGACCCTGGAATTACGCCATATGAATCAGCATATGATAATTCCTCGTCCGCTTCATTACCCTGCAAGTAAAAATATGGAGGAAAATTAGGTTGTTCTCCTCCCTCCCCGTCGTCCTCCTCCTCATCATCATCATCGTCTTCCTCATCTCCGTCATCACCGTCATCATAATCATGATCGGATGGCATGCTCCATGTGTCATCATCGTCTTCCTCTCCACCCCGATTCTCACTGAGCTCAGCATGTATCTCAGCACCCAAACAATAAGGATTTTGTGCCATAAAATTCCAAAGCACATTTAAGCTATCATCATCGACAATAGGCATTGCATAATGAAATAAAACACCATTCTGCCATTTTGGAAGGCAGTAGGTGAAACCTGTAATCACAACACTATCTTGTACTGTTTCGTCTCTAATCCGTATTCTCCGAATTAGATGATCACAAAGTTTTTTATAGTTCACCCTAGATGGAATAGTCATCTGGAAACTTAGACCACCAACAAAATGGACACCCAAATTGTCTTCTACTTTCTCTGATCGCCACCGAACAGCTAGTTCAAATCTTCTAAAATCACTACATAAAAAACAAACTCACTAATTACATTACTAACTAGACAAAATCATTATGATGAATACATGGAAAAAAAAATTACGACTCTTACCTGTTATTAGCCATCTTCCCAGCAACCAGACAGCAACACCAGAGCTTCTTTCAGAACTTCTTTCAGTTTTTTGGTGATGAAGAACCGAAGGAAAGGTGCAGTATATATGGTGAGGGGTGGTGCTGGAGTGGAACAAAATGGCAGCGACAAAGCCTTAGTCTGGGGCGCCGTCGCTATTACCTTCTAAAAAGCGACAAAGCCCCAGTCTAGGGCGCCGCCGCTATGTTTTGTTTGTTAAAAACCACCCAGCGGCGGCGCCAGAGTCCAAGGCTTTGGCGCTTTAGACATATCAAAAAACACAATATTGTTGTAAATACTTTTAAAAACACAATATTCGTGGTAAATTAAAAAAAATTATTTAGGGAATTAACCCCATTATTTCCTATCCTTATCCATTAATAGAAGAATCATCTTTGTTTTATTTTGTTGCAATGATACTTTTATATGTACAGAAACAGACGCTAAGCTTGGATGGAACTTATTGTGATTTTTTTTTGTCCCAAATAGAATTATTATATATGTATCCTTATGATAACATCACTTCCATTGATTTCCCTTCAACATGGAGCTGTGATGTAGTCGATAAATTATTAACCAAGCAAGAGCATCACTTGGATAGGAAGGCCCATGTCTGATCACTTTTTTCATTCATCAGCATCTACTTGGATATGTTATAGAGCAACCATGAAGCACATGAGTGAATCCAAGAGATTATGGTTAAGGTCCACTATCAATTATGATTTTTCATATTGGTAAGTTAACGTTGATGAACACGTTCAGCCACAAAGTAGTCCTCTCTTCTTAAGCTTTTACTTAAATATTACGCAACATTCTTCTTCCATTCTTTTGTTAGCCTTCTGATCTTTAAGGGCCGCAGAAATTGGTCAGGTAGCTAGAACTGTTTGGTAGTTTTCAACCTTCTGTTTACAGTCTGGAACCCGATTGGATGTGCCTTACTAGAACTGTATTTATGTTTGTAGCCAAATGCGCAAGTGCAGGGGAATTGGAGTGCGGGTGTGCATCATTTTAACCTTATAAATCCCTTTCAAATGGTAAGTTGCATTACCACCGTCCATCGAGCAATAAATATCTCCCCAGCTGAATTATGATTCATCTAAAAAAGGCATGTGCATTAGCTTCTGTTTATAGAATTTTATTATGGCTAATATGATATTCTCTGAAAATTTCTACTATATCTAAGCTACAATTTCAACCAAACGTTACTATTCTTGCCTATGCTCCTAATATCGGTAGGATGGTTCACCTTTTTTTATGTATTTTGTACTTATCCTAAGATTGCTCTTGGAAGATCATGTGATGTTCAATACTGCCATATCTTTTAGAACTAGGCGATTTTTCTTCTCTTAAATGTTTGTTAGATATTGCTTTCAATTGGATAGGGTGAAATGTGAATTATATATATATTTAACATTACAGCAGCCATGGTTGTATCATTACCCATGTGTCTGTGGAAGGTTTTCATTTTTATATGCCTTCTCCCTGTGTGCAGGCATCACTACTTTGTTGTTTTCAACCTTTTGGTTTGCCTTGCTGATAGTGCAACCTTGATCATTAAATGCCTGGTTTTTTATTGCATATTCAATCGGTTCAACCGGAAATTGGACCAAACGCGGTACGGTGGGCTGATTGTGCTGAGTTTACCGTGCCGGCTGGTTTTTTCGGTTTGACCGGTTGAACCGGACGGTACGATCTGGTTTCCTGGTCTATGATTCAGCTTCATTTCTGCGTATTCTCGTCCAATATGTGGAAAATAATTAAAAAAGAATATTAGTGATTGGAGTGGATGAAGATGTTTCGTATGTGTAGTTTTTGTTGATGTGTCTTCTATTTTGCCTCTATTTATTTTAGGAACTATCAAGTGAGATATTTTGAACCTGATCCAACCTAACTTAGGGGTTCCCATTCAAACACATGTATTATCACTACAAATGTATGCTTAATAACTAATCTAGAATAGCTCTTAATTAGTGATTGGCTTCGTGTTTGGATATGGGTTGCTTACAAACTTAACTGATCTGAAAGATACGTTGCTCCAAGAAAATCTCATTCATTATTTGGCTTGCAAGCCTTTTGCTTTAACTAAACACAAAACAACAAATACTTCCAGTAGGATATGATTATTGGTGACATCATTGCCGGTTGTAAGCTATTTTACCTATGAGCAAGGTTGTCAAACCGGTTTGTGCCAGTGTGCCAGTTTAGCAAGTGGAATGGTTCGACCGGTGGTACATACCGGTTTGTTCCGGTTCATGCCAGTTAATATTACAAATAATTTACAAATACTCATATTTAAGCACGACATTTAATGTCAATACCTAAATATTTGTACTTGAATCCAACAAATAACATCAACATTTAACTTTTTAACGCCTAAAATAAATAATAAATTACTTTTTATCAAATAAATTCACTAATATAATATCATTTTACTTAGAGATTCGTATATCGATCATGCCGGTTATACCGGTGGTGTCATACCGGTTTTATGACCGGTACAAGTTGAATCAGGTTCAACCAGTGGCACGTCAGCCGGCGTGACAACCATGCCTATGACATTTCCTATGACATTTCCTTCTGACTACTTTGTCTAACGAACTCCATGTTTGGTTTTGCAGCTCCAGTTGTCGCAACATTTTAAAGTTGAGAGTCCAACAAATCCTAAGTTAGTGGACGTTGTAGTCGACCTTATTTACATTATTTTGTCGTGTGTTCTTTATGATGTGTTTTGTTCATATTATATGTGATTGTGGTTAGCTATTGATCTAAAAAAAACAGTATTGAGGTTATTGGTTTGAGGTATTGATTTGTGTATTTTATTTTGGACCTCCATGGGTCTGATTGAAAAATAAAATTTGATGCCAGCAAATGTAGGTGGGGTAAATTGCATGTGTTTGTCACTGTGATTACTAAAATCGTTCATGTTTAGTCACTATAAATATTTAATTCCATTAGTGGTCACTAATCATGTTTGGTCACTCTCCGTCCAATTTCGTTAAATTTGTTTGATGTGGCAGTCAACTCTTATAGTTGACCGTTAAATTTATGATGTGACAATTAAAAAATAAAATAAAATAAAATTAAAATTTACACCTCATTATCACTATCATTAAAAATAAAAAATATTCATTTTAATTACCTAATCTCAGCTCACCCTTCTTTCTCACCGTCCCCCGACCCGAGATTTCTAGCCTTCATGAATCCCCAATAATGGGCCGCGGGGAAGGGGAAGGTATGGCGAGCAGTGGGAGATGAAGGGTTTCGGCGTCGAGGCGGAGGAGTCGTACTGTGGGCTGCTCTGCGATGTCGAATGAATAGTCCTCTAAATGGCCGCTGCAAGCTCTAGGGCTCATCTCCGTCAACACCAACGGAGTCGGCGACACCTGCAATCCGATTGCTAGAATTTATTGGAGAATCTTGGATCTGTTCGTTCGTGTTGTGATGGGGTGTAAGAGGAGTAGCTGTTCCTGCTCTTGTGCTTCCCTTTGAAGCTTCGAGATCCATCTTTCACAATATTGATGTTTTTCTCCATCAATGTCGGCATCCAACTGTACGGATGACCCATCAATTTCCATTCCCCAATTGCTCCAAAATAAAAACAGGGGAAGGAGATTATGGCAATATACTCATGTAATTAGTGGGTATGCATCGATTATCTTGCGCTGATCTCCTGTGCGAAGAGTACGGTCTCTGACCGCTGACGGGAGGCTTCCCGTCCTCCGCCGACGTTCGATGATTTCAGCTCCGGGACTGGATTTTGGCGAGGGAGAGCAGCTACGCCGAGGAATTTCATGAATCCGGGTAGCCGAACAGGTGATTAGCCGGTTGATAGAGCGAATCTCGACGGAGGAATTTGAGGCAGCGGTGGTGGAACGGTTCAGGGAGCTTATCGCGGACCCCCAAATCCCAATGGACTCTTTACAATTTCCTCAAACTGAAGAGCATTTGTGGACTCGGTCGGCGGCGAAAAAGTAGATTGATGTATGGAAACCGGTGAAGAGGTAATCAGGTATGGTTTGGTGTGTTGGAATTATAGGAAATTAAAATTATATTTTTTTTAAAAGTTATGAAAATGAGCTGGAAAATTTAAGAGTTTAAAATTTTATTTTTATTTTTATTTAATTGTCACGTCACACATTTAACGGTCAACTATCAGAGTTGACTGTCACATCAGACACAATTAACGGAGTTGGACGGAGAGTGACCAAATATGACATGTTTTACTAAACCTAGTGACCAATAATGGATTTAAATATTTTTAGTGACTAAACATGAACTGTTTTAATAATCACAGTGACCAACCTTGCAATTTACCCAATGAAGGTGTGTAAGATCCCTATTGTTTCTTTCGCTAGGCCATTCATGTGTCTGAGATTGTACGAGAGGTAATTGCATTAACCTCTATTATTTCTCTCCCCCCATCACACTCAATAATAATAATATTATTATTATTATTATTATTATTATTATTATTATTATTATTATTATTGCTTCGCTTAGCTCATGAAATCATCATGTCTTTGTTCTTGAAAAAAAAATCATCATGTCTTTGGTTATTTTGATGAGCTATTTTCTGCCACCAACAAGAATTTTCCTCAAAAGATGAAAATATGTCATTTTATTATTTTCCGATGTATCGCTTTAAGAACTTAATCAATTCACATTAATTTTACCCGGCGCGGAGCGCGGACTTTCTTACTAGTATATAATATAATATAATATACTCAAATGTTGTTGTTTACTAAACCAAACTTTGTCGAATGTTCCATCAGTAATCCATTGGATCACGTTGTACCTGTTTATACAAAAAAAATTGGATATGATAAGCAATTCGTGTGTTCAAACCGTCGACACAATACGATATCCACAAACCATGCATTAGGCCAATTCCCCAAAACAAACATATATATTATGACACCAAGTTAATGCAAACAACCATAAGTATATAAAAAAGGCAAAATACAGTTGTATATCCACAACTATCACGTTTGTGACAAATATATCCACAACTATCAAAATACACGAAATATCCAAAAATCGGAGGGTTGCGTGACAAATCTATCCATTTCTGTTACAAACTTTAACGCCGTTTGTTACGGCGTCAGTTAATGCGACGCAACGCTGACTAGGACCATATCCATCCCACATGTAAGCTCCTGGTCATCAAAATTTCACATGTGGACGCCACATTAGCAAATAAATAAATAAATAATTTTTTTCTTTCTTATACCCTGGAGAAACGTGTCTCTCTCTCTCTTACATTCTCCGCATTCACCTTCACGCACTAAGCCAGCCGAAGGAACCATCGCCACCACCGCACAAGCAATCGGAAGGTAGTAACAACAATCTGAAAAATAATCACCACCAGTACCAGAGGGCTTCCTCTTCATCTTTCACATCTTCCCTTCAGCCGAAGGAACCATTGCTGCCGTTACGCCTCCCTCACTCGTCCGACACGGCAGTGTCTCCCATCTTTCGTGAGGCAATTGAATCCCAAACTCGATATCGCATCCGCGCCCGTATTTCATTTCAACGATGTCACTAGAGCGGGGAACATCAATCCCAATCTTTCGTGAGAGCAGCGACGCTAGATCTGAAGCTGTTCACTCCGCTCTTCGAATTCGTCGCCGCTGGATCTCTCGCCGCGGCGGGGAGCTCCAGCCCCGGACCTGGCGACAGAGGATCTGGGTACGGCAGCTGCTTCGGGGGCAAAAAGGGAGGCGATTTCGGCGGCGGCCGTTGGGGAAGAGCGGATGAAGAGGAGTTGGGAGCCGAGCCGGAGGTGGTCGTCGGTTCTTGGAAGATGCAGAGGTTGCTAACAGAGAACAGAAACAAAAATATGGATTTACCCAAACCCACATCTCACCTCTACAAGAACATTCAGGTCTGTGTAATGGGTCACGGCTTGCACGAGTGCCCAAGCAGCGAGGTCCAATTGACGACGATGGCGACGGGATCTGAAGGCTACAGCAGCGAGGTCCGATTGACGACGATGGCGGCGGTTGAAATGGAAACTCGAGGACGACGATAGTGCTGTTGATATGATCCCAAACCACATGAATTCCAAACCTCACAAGATCGATCAAGAAGCGGGATCAATTACGGATAAGGAGAAGGAATTTTGGCTAAGTCGTTTTGGTGTTGCAGGATACATACTTTTGAGGTATGGTTCTTTTAATTGGCTCAATGAAAATTGGTGTTTGATGGCTTGTTTTGAAGATAAACACTTTATCTATAAGTTGCTATGCCTGGTGGCTCAAGAGGAAGTCCAGAAGGCCACTTTCCATACGTGTAAAAATGCTATGAAGAATTCTGAAAACTGCCAAGATTTGACCAAGGCAGAAAACAATGTTGAGCTACCAACTTTGAAGGCCTATAAATCGAGATTGGGACATGATCTCGAGCTGATTCAAGTTGGAGGTGAAAGAGGAAGTCTTCTACTTCAGAGACAAGGAATTGGTAGAGTTAGAATTAGGGATGGCAATGGGTCGGGTTGGGACGGGTTTTGTCAAACTAGCTGATAGGGGTCAGCTATTTGGAAATCTCTTTTTTTTTTTGTTCCAACTTGGCCATTCCTCCTTCTTCTGCCTTCGACCACTCTCCAATAACCTCTACTACCTTCCATCGATCCAACATTAAACAACCATCGCCATTCATCAAATCTCAAACCCCTCCCTTCGGCGTCATTGTTACTGCTGGCCAGCTCTACTCTACGTCACAACTACCAATCAATCATCCTTCACCTACAAATCTAGGGAGAAGAAGGTGAAACTTTCCGAAGCGGGATGCTTTTCATCCATTGTCGTTCCAGAGAGGAGTTTTATTTCGGCAGCAAAACAGAAGAGCAGAGTGAGTACGAAAACGAAATTGCAGAGATCAACTCCTCCATCGAAACCCCAATCTGGGTTTTCTTCCCTTGTTCATGGTTTGGGATTTCGTTGGGTTTGGGAGGAATAAATGAGATGGGAACTGGGAAAGAGATGTCGTTGCTTTGGGAGGAATAATTGAGGAGATGGGAATTGGGATTGGGATGCTGTTGGGGTCGGGTTTCTAAGGAAGAACTGCGACTGAAGTTCAGATTGGGGTGTTGTTGGGTTTGGGAGATGAACGAGATAAGGGCAAAATAGTTATTTGACTTTTCTAAATGAAAACACTGATCTTTAACTAAACAAAGAATTTTACCCAAATCCCACATAATAAATATATGGGTTTTTTAACTGAGAGATTTAAGCCCATATCCCTCTCAAATCCCATGGATAAAAAACCCACATCCAATCTTAGGTAATCAGTTCATGAAGTGAGAGTGGGAGCAGGAGCGAGAGCGCGAAATCGTTTATTTTAGAAGAATTCAATAATAAGAAGGTGAAAAGAGCGTCATTATTATATTATTTTATTAATTTTTTTCAATGGAGCAGCTAGTACCAAAATAGTATAAAATATAATATTTAGGATAATATTTGTAAAAATAAAAGTGAGAGTAGAAGGTGAGTGAAATGGTTTACTAATTAATACTGTTATGATATTAGTATAATAAAAATCTAATTGAAAATGAATATGAAAATTCGTTTCAATAGAAAAGTCATTTATTTATATTTTCCATTTTATCTTTTATTTACCTTATTATTATCTTTGCCCACCCACCACCATCCTCAATACACTCCTTCCTAATCTGAACTTCTTCTTTCTCCGTAGCTCTTCAAAACAGAGACAGAAAACCAAGTTCAAGCTTTTCCCCCCTCTCTTGATCCTATTTCCAGATACTCAACTCTCACATGCAACCAACAGGTGAGTTATTTCCCCCCTAGATCTCGCATAAGATAGGTAAATCCACCACGGATGAGGCTCCTACAGGCGACAATCAAACTATTTTGACGGGAAAGAAGCAACAACGATGTCTGCAAACTGTCGATTAATGCCACCGGGGAGGCAGGGGTCTCTTAGTTCCCTTGAATCTTCACTTCAAATGTGATTTCTGGTTTTGAGTATGATTCTCCCACTCTGAATCTGAACTAATACGATCGGCCCCTGACTATGCTGCTAACAATTGTGATCGCTTCTCCGCTGCCAGTTGTTCTAATTTTATGTCATATCATGGTTCCATTGATTTTGCAAGCTAGATCGTGGCAAAGTGAACTTGATTCAATTGGAGTTTCAATCAATAGTGCATGTCTTCTCTTCTCTCTTTATTGCTCTGTTTTTAATCTACCAACTCCTCCCCTTGCCGTCGATCTTCCCTTCTCAGGCCACTCATCCTCTTCTAAAAATTGTGCTCTCAACAATTATTTGAGAAATCGCTCTCTATAAATGAAAATTCGCGCGAATTTTTTATGGATTGACGCAAATTCGCGTTTTCAGCGCTCTAGAGCGGGAGCGCAGGCTATACCCCAACGAATTGGGTGACCTAAATCCAAACCACCCCATCAACATCTCAATTATTTCTCCTTCAGAGTCATTCACGACCATTCTGACTTAACCTTTGATTTAGCATTGTTTTCCCTCTTCTTTAACACTGAGATTGCTAGTATATCTATAGATCCCATCGTTTACCAGGGATATTAGAAAGTCCACTCCGCATTCCCAGCGTCTCCGGCCTCCCCTTCTCACCCTCTCTGTCTCTCTTTTCTGTGTCTCTTTCTTCTCTCATGGTCACATTCAGAAAATAAAGTTTTCCAAAACGATAACACCAAATTCATCAATAAATAAGAATACAGTGTTTGAGGTGATCACCATCTAGGATCCACTCGCCTTTGCCATTCAATCCAAATGCCAATGGGCCTCCATGTTGTGATGTCC